AACATCGAAGTTAACTAGAGGGCAATGTTACAGACAGGAAAACAATTTCTGTAAGGCCCTACTCAAAATAGGAGGTGATTAAATTAACAGTAGAGATGGACTCTGATGGGAAAAAAAAGACAGATTCAAGAATTATTTAGGAACTATAATTAACGGGATATACTCCTCAATGAATGGTGGGGAAGTGGAGGCTATAATCAACACTGAAGTGAATTCAGGTTATTGCTGTCTTTGGTAAATGTGGTGGCATAATTTGAAATGTTAAGAAATGCATTTCTATAGCAGTTTAGATGTCCTCAATGAATGGTGGAGAAGTGGAGGCTATAATCAACACTGAAGTGCATTCAGGTTATTGCTGTCTTTGGTAAAAAGTGGTGGCATAATTTGAAACGTTAAGAAATGCATTTCTATAGCAGTTTAGATGAAAATGGACACCTTGACCTATAAATCTTATAAAAGTAAAATTTTATTTTAACAGTGGGAAAGATATATAGGGTGTCCTTAAAATGTATACACACACTTTGAGTAATTATAAAAGCAGTATTTATTAAAATACATTTCTTTTTCAAACTTGAGCTATCAGCTGTTAAAGTGTATACACATTTTTGGGAGACACCCTATAGTATTGTTAAGGAATCCGGAATATACCTGGCCAGGATCATTCAGTGAAAGGATCACTTTGAGTCTTCTCATATTCACTCACTGCTTCCCAAGTCTGAGTGGAGTGTAACAGAATCTCCTGTATTACAGTGAGATTTACCAAGTCTCACCACCTTGAATCAGGTGTTGAATAAATATACCTTTTTTGTTACACCAGAATCAATTCACTACATTGTTCTCATATCTATATATATATATCTATATATATCTCTATATATACATATATAGAGATATATATAGATATATATATATAAGCCTAATATGCATAGAGTCCCCTCGGGAATTCGATCACTCACTATAACTTGTGCTGACCACCAGGGGGCAGCACGAAATGAAGGAAGGACCGGCCAGCAGCCAGGAGCCACCAGGGACCCTATCTGTCCATGCATTTCATGCACTGGGCTTCTAGTTTTATAATAAAGATCTAGTATCATGCATGTGTAGATAATATAACTATAAAATTATGTTTATGGGTGTGAGTTTACAAAATATAAGCCTGGTAGGACTGACTGTATAGGGGCTTGCCACATTCAGTCTTCTGATTGTGATCTGTTCCCTGACCAAACTTAATAACAAAGAACAGCATGGTACAGATTTTTTCCAATCTGGTTACAAAACATGCTATTGCTAGCTAACTTAATTACTGCAAGGTATAGCATTGCTCTCATTCTCAGAAATCAATCAGATCTATTTTTGAGCTACCTCTAGTTCCAGTTATCTTGTTTTAAGGGACAGTGACTAAGAGATCCTTATAATTTTAAAATATTTTTCCAAAATTCTCAATAGATTTATGTGTACAAAACATGACATATGCAGAAAGTCTTCAAACATCAAGAAATAAGTTTAGGATCAAGTAAACTAGTATTACAAATTTATAAATTCTACTTCCTATTGAAAAGCCATTTTATTTCTTGTGATGTTATTACCAATACTTTTTGATGGTGAAAATATTAAAAACTAGAGGCCTGGTGCATGGATTTGTGCACATTGTAAGGTAACTAATTAGAAGAAATATTTTAGAGGCCAGGAAGAGACCACAGGAGGTCTTCGGGGAACGTCCAGTCCATCTCACCCAGTCCCGATTGGCCAGACCCCAGCAGCAGGCTAACCTAATGGTTGGAGCATCTGCCCCCTAGTAGTCAGTGTGCATCATAGTGACTGGTTAAACAGTCAAATGAACGGTTGGACACTTAGCATATTAGGCTTTTATTATATAGGATCATATTTTTCAATTTCCATTCTCTTATTTCCAGAGAGCTTATGCATAATATTTTTGGAAAAGATACACTACACTGTGTAGATGCCAACTGGTTCACAGCTCTAGTCCTCCTTGCTGATCTGCCAAAATGAGGCATTGTGAAAGCACTGAGAGTAACAAGTGCTACTGCTGGCATTCCTTTTCCAATAAAAGAAAATATTTTATAAATTTATGAGCCACCTTATCAGCAATATCACTTTAGTAGGAAAAATTATTGGTATTTAAATTGTGTCATAGTATGAGCATGATTTAAGGCCATCTGTATGGTGAGACCACTTCCAATCTATTAGCCTCATTGTGGTGGCTATTGGCATGACGATATTATGATTGTGCTTCAGGGACCTTGTGTATAATTAACATTGTGCCTCCTCCTACATTCTCAGGGCCATCATTGAAGAAACATTAAATAAACATTCTTCTCCTTCTACTGTTCTAAATCTGTTGGCTTGGTTGAGTGCTCTAGCTAGGTATATAGTTACGATCGGCATGGGCCTCTATTTTATGTTTCAGTACGGGTTAGGCGAATGAGAAGTCCAAGGCTTATTACCAATCTGTGCCTAACCTTTCATGACTTTGGGTGTAATTTATTTTCTTTGTCAATGGTAATCATTTTGATTTTGAATCATTTTTCTTATTACCTACTTATAAATCATTTTACTTATGAGTATACAATGCGATTAATGAGGGTGGTAATAGCTAGGTTGCTGTAGCCATGGTGTCTCCATATACAGAGAAGTAATTCACTTTGAAAAGTTTATGACATATTATTCATTTGGAACATTGAGAAAGATAATAAAGCTCCTGTTAGTCCACTCATCAAACATGTGCTTACCTGATCCCCTGGAGGACAATTTTATGATGCTATTGTCATGGAGAGTCCTTGCTGACTTAAAGAGCTGTTGGGATGACTGCTTTTTGGTTAGTAGCACTGACGTTTCTCTAGCCCACAACGAGATGCCACCCCCGCCACCTTGGTCCTGCTGATGTGAGCGCAGGTTGCAATTTCAGTCATCTGCATAAGAACGATTTTGGAATTCCACAGGACAGGTGGAGAACTGCCCCTTTGGTGAGTATTTACATTTAACACATTGGGAGGTTTGTTCTATTCCTATCCAAAGCTTCTGGCTTCACTATATAGATTGGTGAATGAATCTGTTTTCGATGAACAATTTTGCCAAGTCCATTACAATTGCCATATGCTTTGCATACAATTATCTGAGGTACTTGGTTATAGTAACTTTGCTGAACATCATCTAGGTGATATCCAGTGTTGCTCACATTGGGCAGATGGACCAAGTCAACCATCAGTGGTATTAAAGCATCTGTCCTCCAATTTTTAAATAAAAGATAACAGCTATCTGAGTCAGTAAACATAGGATAAGCATAACTGAAAGATATGTTCAACTTGGTTGTTCAGGATACAAGAGCTTTGGAAGATGAGTCCCAGATATTAATAGACTCTCATACTATTAAAGTTTATTTTTTTCAGATAGTGTACCAACTCAATAGGTAAACCAGATGTCACATTTCTGGATAAGCTATTTGTGTGTGTGTGTGTGTGTGTGTGTGTGTTTAAGGATTGTTGATTGATATTATTAGATGGATTTTGTTAGATGTGGGAAACCACCTATTGTCTTCACTAGCAGAGAGGTATGGACAGAGAACCCGGAAGGCTGGTGACCTTTGAAGCCCTAGCAAAGGTCAGAGCTGTGCACCACCTCTGTTAATCCAGATGGTAGCTGAAGCAACTTCCCCACCAGATAGTCATGTAAATCCTTATTGATAAAATAGTCATGTAAATCCTTATTGATAAGATAGTCTGTTTGTTACTGGAACTTCCCTGCCTAAGGGCTATGGGTGTATCCCAAACCAATAAAAGCTTGGTGAGGCCTGAGCACCGGTGGAAGTCCTTCCCCTTGAGTTAGACTTACCTGCCTGGCCTCCCATTATTTCCAAATTATCTCTTGTCTCTTCTCTTTAATTTGTGTGCAGCTCCTCTTCCAGATCCTGAACCCTGAACCATGTGGGACTTGGAGGAAAACATTTACCCAGTTAGATGAGCCATCTTGCTAGGTCAGTCCTGGTATGTGTCTCTTCAGCTTCTAGATGGCAGCATGTTTCTTCATGCACATTTCAATGGCCTCCAGGACACAATATCATACAAACAATTTTTTTCTAATATATCTTATATCACTGGTGTGTATAAGAGGATATAGATTATAATCAAGAGAGGCTGGGGTTGAGTCCTGTAATTTAAGTTTGCACAGACTTTACTTTGGTTTGAACTAGCTGGGGCAGTGATGTTATCAGTTGTTGAGCGTTAGATGGCCAAGTTTCTTAAGTTCATTCTAAATTCTGGGCTTGTTTGGTTCCTTTATTGGATTTAAAAAAACTTGTAGAGGTTCACCAGGGATGTCCCAATATCGACTTCACTAGGGACTGCTGAAATTTTTAGCCTCTTGTTTCATCCTTGGTTTACTTCCCTGGGGAACACAATCTACAACAAATGTTCCTTGCTACATTCACTTGAGATATTTTCACCAATACAATTAGTTAATATTGGTCAATGTTATTACTAAATATTACCCTGGACTAACTAATAATAACATTAAATAATATATATATTTTTAAATATATTTTATTGATTTTTTACAGAGAGGAAGGGAGAGAGATAGAGAGCTAGAAACATCGATGTGAGAGAAACATCGATCAGTTGCCTCCTGCACATCTCCCACTGGGGATGTGCCCGCAACCAAGGTACACGCCCCTGACCGGAATCGAACCTGGGACCTTTCAGTCCACAGGCCGACGCTCTATCCATTGAGCCAAACCGGTTTCGGCAACATTAAATAATATTAACATTAGCCTGTCCTCTAGTATGTAGTAAGCCTCTAAATGTTGTTCACCTATTCATTTCTAATAAAATAGTCACACCAACATATGACATCAGTCATTTCTTCCCCATACTAGTACTTTCCTAACCATACCAATAGCCATCATTGACCTGTCTTTTGAGCTATATTACACTGCTGTCCTATAAACAACTTGTATCTCTCACTCAGGCAGCAAAATTTAATATATTAACGTATTATGTCACAGTGGCTGGAGTTACCACACACGGAGGACTTTCCAATGAGTCTCTGACAATAATAAAACCTCATGAAGTTAAATGTTCACTTCTAAGAACATCCCAATCTGGAAAAAAAAATGTGAACTCTCCTCCCAAGAGATGACATCCCATCTCTTAGTAAAGCTATGTATATTACATATTTTATCAAGTATCATTACTTAATGTTGGTTACTGCTTCTCTGGAACTCTTATACTGCTTAACCAGGACAGAGGGTACTATTTTCTTCAACCATATTTTTGTAAGCCACAGGTACCACTCACACAGGCTGAGGATGAACCCTACCAGAAAGACAATCTTGTGGAATTTATTTCATTTTGTTAAATCAGTTAACCTGCCATTCTTTTGATTTGAAGACATTGTCCTTAGTTGCTGTCATTCTAGGGATACC